CGTGGTGCTGGAGGAAGCAAAACGGCATCCAGCCTCCATCCAGACCTCTGCTTACTGCCGTCCTACAAACTTGTGTCTTAGTTTCAGAATTTGATTTTTTATATGTCCTTTCTTTTAATAGATATTTAACGATTATAGCTTGAGTCTGTCTGATTCCCCAAACAGCTGCTTCTATATACTTGCTGCACATACAATACAAATAAACAACTCCATAAACACACTTTTGCTGATATTTGTTTTACTGCTGGTGATGTTAAATAACATGATTGATTTCCTCTGTCTCCATAGAGAGGCGAAGTCCCTCCCTTTCCGGGGGACCTCCATGGGACCTTATTTCGGGAAAAGTATGTATTGAACTCAATAGAGAGAGAAAGATTATCTTTCGATCCCATTTGAATTGTGCCACGAATTACACATATGATGTTTGTCAATTTAAAATGTCAAAAAAATAAAAAGTAACACTTTTTTTGTGTGAAACCGCTCAATGAACTACATCTCCCGTCTCGCAACACACACCAAGACGGCCGTCACGTTGACACATTTCACTTCTTTCTTTCAGAATGAGGCGAAAAGTATTAAAAGAGGTGAAAATCACTACAAGTCTGGGCATGATGAGAGCTGTACATACACACAAGGGGAGTTAGTCGGTTCCGTAAGAGCCAGCATGCGGGACCGGGATTCTGGGATTTGTAGTCTTTGTAGTTGCGTATTTTTCACGCTTATATTCTTATATTTCAACAGTTTTACGACAAAATGTGACTTTTTTTGACATGGAAATTATTTTTTAAGATTGACAAACATCATATGTGTAATTCGTGGCACAATTCAAACGGGATCGAAAGATAATCTTTCTCTCCCCATTGACTTCAATACATAATTTTTCCGAAATAAGGTCCCATGGGTCGGAAGTAGATGGGCGGGACTTCGCCTCTCTATGATGAAAGTTATAATAATAGAAGACATGAAGCTGCAGAGAGAGGATGGATATATTCTTACCTCTACTTTGTAATAAGATGAAAATACAAAATTAAATTAAAATAGTAATTGTTAAACACATTGTTTATTTCATTTACTGAGGTTTTAACCATTATTTACAACATGTGTACATGATAATAATAATAGGATATCTCTAGGTCATTAAACTGTCTTCAGTGTAATGACTGAAGACATTAAAAATGGTCATAGAAAATGTTTAATTGTGTATTTCAGCAGAGCGGGGGGTCACGGTGGTGCTGGACCTGGAGGTGCTGACCTGGTGTCAGTGGGACATCATCTGGGCTGGTTTAGGGGAAGAAGGAGAATATAAACTGTTATAATCACAGCTATTAAGATTAGAACACTAATATTGTTAAGAATCAATCTATACAACATGCTTTTGTTCATTTAAAAAAACATTGTTTTATTAGTACAGAAAAATTAAGACTTATTTTAAATATGAAATATATATAATTTACTTGTTAACTTACTAATGTAACATTACTGGGGCTAAAGGAACAGTCTTATTTACCTGGCCATGGTCCTCTTTATTTCATCGCCGTCGGTGATCTCCAAAAAATGGTTAAAGTAAAAAGGTAAAAGAAAAGTTTCTGGATCCTTTTCAGCTGAGTTAGCTTGTAAGCTAATTTGCTAGCAGGCTGCTGGAGCAGCGCAACCGAACAGCGCGTATCACGTGACGTAAATACGAAGCGCTTCGTAGGCTAGACCGTCTCATTTCGTAGGCCGCTCGGTCCAGCCTACCTGGTCTACGTGGGCTGGGTCCTCCGTGGACCGCGTAGGCTGCGTACTCCGAAGGGTGCAGCCCCTGAATTGAGACACGGCCTGTGAATATGTTACAATTTTATATTTCAACCGAATCATATACTCAATTACTTCCTTCCAGGCTCATACGTCTATTACATTTGAGAGATTTTCATATGTTAGCGGCTCATTAGGCTTCTACTTTGGCCTTTGCACAAACTTCTAGTCTGTCGACTGTTGTCGACAAGTTATGCTACTACCAATTATTGGTAGCTTTAACATATTAATAAGTTCAATAGTAAGCAGGAATGTCCTTTTTTTGTAAAAGTATTCTTATTCTCTTTCTTGGCAAGATTTAGAAAAATTGATTGAAACCACTCTCAAATCTGTATGCTAAATTTGAGTCATGATACCATTAGCTTACGTTAGCATTAGCCTTCAGGCAGTAGTAAACAGCTAGCCAAGTTCTATCCAGCTCTAAAAAACGACAACAACGAGCACATGTGTGAAACAAACAAAATACAACTCAGTATGTTAGTCTAGAGGTGATAAATGTGATTTTTTGTAAAATGGAGCGACCTTCTGCTTCTTCATGTTTCCAGTCTTTATGCTAGCTAAGCTAACTGCCTGGTGGCTCTAGCTTAATCTTTAGTGTAAATATAACTTAGCTTCAGATTCTTTTAAGAATTAAGCATTATTGAGACATACCAAAAAAGAAAAGAGCAAGAGTTTTTGGTTCAAAACATATTAGTTTATATTATTACAGTCAGGTAAGGTATATAACTGTAGTCACCTTTGGTTTCCTGCTTCATGGCTACATCCTTGGTTTTGCTTCTGTCCCTGTAGATTAAGCCCTGCCACTACCTGCCCTGCTTCGTGACCTCTAAGAATGAGTGCCTATGGACGGACATGCTGTCCCACTTCGGCTATCCGGGCTACCAGTCCCGGCACTATGCCTGCATCCAGCAGAAGGAGGGCTACTGCAGCTGGTACCGGGGCATGACTTCACGCGACAAAACCGCAATCAACGCCACTGACCCCTGAACCTTGACCCCAACGCACCCTACCCAAACCACTGACTCCCTGACTCCGACCAATCCCAGGTGACAGCCTCTTTTAAAGGGGCAAAAAAGAGAAAAGAGTAAATCCATTGCAGTGCCTGTTTTGTAGCACTTCTGACAGAAAACGATACCTTTTTTGTTGTGCACATCGCCCTGTTGAACTATCAACTTTCCAAACACGAATCGAACTGTCCTTGAAAGTGATCAACCTTTATTGGATCCTCAGGATTAAACAACAAGCAGTGACACGTACACAATTTGAAGTTTCAATACCAATAGCATTGATGTTAATAGGTGAGCTGTGTTAGCCTTCTGCTAACCTGGTAGCCAATGATCACTATGTAAAATGACATTGTTGCTACTTGCTACAGTTAGATGGACGGTGTTCCACACATCCAACTCTGTAGATGGAGTGCCAATGTAAGGTATGACCTCTGAATGTTATACCTCTTATTTCGTGCTCAAATTATTGAATTTTTTTGAAAATTGTATTGTTTTACAGTGAAGTATACATGTATCAATTATGTTCAGTGTTAACTGTAACATGTGTCTTTAAGGATTATAGAATCTCTGCTGACCTGAATGTTTGAAATGTAACTCATTTTGCAGTTATATCACAAACAACCCTGTACTGTTGAGCACTGTTGAATATCAGAGAGACGCTAAAATAAATGCTCTGTTATAGTGCCAACGCAGGGAGATGCTCACTTCTGGCCGAGATGGTGATATTTTATTTTTTGCTGTATATAACATAAGCTACAGAAATGAACTATAAACGCATCTGAAACCTCTGTAATTCATTTATTTATATGTTTATTAGATTACACAGAAATGATGTGCATAAAAAGAAACAAATATATAATAACTGATCAAAACTACATTGTGACAACCATCGCAGCCTGCGCACCCCCCAGAATGAGGGACCAGGCTATAGTCTGGTACTCACGGTACTCCTGTCTGTTAGCTCGATCTAAGAGTGGTACTCCTCGTCCAATGAAAGACAAGTTCAGAGATATTTTGTATGTGTATATTCAATCTTTTGTATTTAACTATTTCAAACTGACATTATATATATATATATATATATATATATATATATATATAAATGATAGTAACAATGTTGTCACTACATTTATTTTTTTCACCTGTTTTTTCCCAGTGCCGTACCTTCAATCCATTCCATTAACAGACACAGATTTGTCACAGCCCTTCATCACTAACACAAAGTATTACATCGCTAATGCACTGTGGCTTTGACCAAGTTTTCAAAAGCGTTTTTCTAAATGTTGGGAAATATGCTTTTTCGCTTTTCTGATTAAAGTTAAATGAGTTTAGCTTAGTCATAAGCTAAACTAGCCATCTCGTTGGAGCTGGAGGTTCATGTTTAACACACGTTAGAAGCTTATAGAAGCGTGCATCTTCCAGAAACAAAGTAAAATGCCAATTTCCTAAAATGTAAAAACTTTGTATTTATTTATCCATCTCCATTCCAAAAATGTGTCTTTTATGTGAAACAGTATTTAAACCACCTCTGGGAACTAAAGCTAAGGTCGGATCACATCAGAGGAGGAAGATTGTATCTGGAACTAAAGTCAAATATTGACACGTTTCTCTAAATTATTAAAAAGACAACCCTAAATCTATCTTATTTTTGTAACTTTCTCTCGCTCAAAGTTTTCTACAGAGAACTGCTGAATACTTTTCCTTCTGTCTGCCTCCTCTCGATGATGACTCTTTGGCTTGAGTACGCAACATTACACCGAGTCCGGATTACGTGTCATTTAGTTTTAAGACATTACAACAGAAGTTAATAATTACTGACCTTCGAGTCGCGTATCAGTAGAGATTTTATTTTGTACAAAACATGTCCTTTCTGTCTTTTTATGTGTTGACAAAGCTCTTTCTCCAGCTGTGGCGTTTCTGTGTCACTATTTCTGTGGTTCATGTTTGTGTAAATGTACTGTCTGCTTAACACAGAAACACTTGGTCAAGTTTAAAAAAGAATCCAATCAAGGAAGCTGTGTACAGTCTGATTCCTGAAGTGTGTGTGAGGGGGGTTCCTTGTAGGGGTTATAGAAGTGTTTGACTTAATTTCTGTGTTTTATATTTTTATAATAAAGATTTAATGAAAATCTGTCTACAGGAGGTTTATGGTGATTTATGTGTGTTGTGTGGATGAAGAGTAATATCTGAGGCACTCACCATCTGTGTGTGGTTGGGGTAGAAGGTTTGTTCATTCAGGGGGAATTTCTCAGGGCCGAGAGAGTGGTAGAGCTTTATCATCTGAGAAAACTGAAGAGCAAAAAGAAAAGACAGTTAGATGTCTTCATTAAAGCAGTGGAGGACAGGAGGGTTATATACACCTGAGTCAGAGCACAGCATTCACAATCATCCTCTCAGATGCTTATACATGTGATCCAGTACAGTCAGACACATATCCCAACACAAATCGTTTTTCTGACTTCCTCTAACCTGCCTTACGCACTTCAGTTAACAGTGCTGAACCTGCTGCATCCAGCTGTTGGTTACAATGACAGTGAGGATAGCTTGGTTTAAGTAAATACATTCTAAACCCACCAGTAGATAGTTGAATGTTGATACATTATTGCTGTATGAATGATTGGTTTCAAACCTGGGGAACACTGATATTTGTAACAAATAAAGTTTTCTTTGAGGCTAGCAAAGTCTTTGAGATTCATGTAAGCCTGATTTATTCACAGAGCAGACACATCAGTCAAATCCCAAATATAATAATAAGACGTGTATCTTGCTCTAGAGCGATGTTTACCAAAGTGGCTTATCATATTCATTAATTATGGATTTGTTATAATGTCTCTCCACATATTTGTATATGTGTAAGCATGTTTTCAGACATATCAAAACTAGAAGAAAAAAGCAAAGAATATCAGAATCACTTTAGTGAAAACTGTTATAAATACAGCTACAGCTGATGACAGTCGAGGTGTATGGTACAGTCCAACCTTTTTGTTTGTCTTTATGCTTTAGTGCTCTAAAGTTCCCTGTTAAAAAAGCCATAGGGCCTTTTTGATCTATCCTGCCCAATATTATAACTGACTTGATGGATGACCTTGCTGTTTGTCATGGCTTCCAATGTGGCAAAACTAATGTGGGAACACAAGAACAGAATGATTTTCAAACAGTAAATTATCGTTCAAAAAGTATAAAAGGTCATTATCTCTGGAGAGCAATTACCACGTCCCTACCATTAACACTGAGCAGAAAAACGAGACCATCTAAAAACGTATGGAATGCTTCGTTGGATAGGAAACAGAGGTGTAAACATGTGGTAAATAAGCTACGACATGTAAAGGTCATTCTTTTACACGGGGTGGTTCATACTCCTTCAATTATGAACACATGCAGAGAGTTTTCACTGCTCTTCCTCAAAGTACAGAGGGAGTCAGAATGTGTGGAGGCTCGCTGCACCGACTCCAGAGACGGTGCTTCAGCTCCCTTTAAAAGCCTTCATGAATCAGCAGGGGAAGGGACACGTTTGTGGGGGTTAAAGTAGAGCAGAGAGCAGTAGAGCAGCTTACCACCCAGGGCTTGCTGCAGAAGTTGTAGATGGAGAAGAGGGAGTTGCTACTCGGGACGCCGCCGAAATGCAAACCAATCACGAGGTTCCTGAAGTCCTCACCTGGGACCATGCTGTAGGCGTGCTGGCGAATCAGGACGAAGTCTGGCTTGAAAGACCTGCAACAAGACCGACATGGAAATGAAACCATCAGATGGTGGAGTTTGGCAGGGTGGGGGTTATCAATCTGCAAGGCTCTGAGAGCGTAATCTCACTTTGAATAAGCCCTCCAATCAAAGTGCGTTTTTGACCTTAGGATAATGTCCGCAGGGCTTTTTTATGTGCTACAAACAGGGGCGCCGTTTGCCGACAGGCAAGGCAGGCAACTGCTAGGGGGCCCCCAGAGGGTCTTACAGCTCAACTGGCTACAAAGCATATCATAGTTTCTGCTTGTCCAATGTGAGGGTCTCAGGACAGAGGGTGTACTATTCGTATTCATATTCTGTATAAAATGACAAATGTAAATGTGTGATATTGGATAATATAAGTAAACTTTGATTGATTGATATCAGGTATGAGTATTCAACGATATTGTCGAGCATTTCTGACCTAAGTATTCCAATAGCAGTCTCAGAATACAGAATTCCGAGATCCATATCCAAGAACAAATCTTACGGGGTAGACCTTTCCATGGCATTAGCGTAACGTTACAGAAACACAACGGTGAAAAGCACTGTTTTGAAAATGTTTCTCCAAAACACATGGGTTTAGACACACGCTTAAATCACAGCCTGTTCCATCCATTTACCCTCAGCGAGCAGGCCAACATGTTGTTCATCGGTACGATTCTGCTCCAGGCCGACTCATTTACACATTCAAAGATCATACTAAATTAGGAAAAGACAAAGAGTCACATCCTAGCCATTTTAATGAGAAAGGAACTTTAATGTGTTATATTGTAAAATGAAAGGATAGGATACAATAAAAGAACATCATTCAATAGCACTAGATCTTTTTCTAACGGTGTGGATGTATTATTGAATGGATTGCCATGATATTTGGAGCAGACAATCATGTCCTTCTCAGAATTCTTTTTAATATTTGTAGTGATCCTCTGACTTCGCACCTTGTGACATCTTCAGGTCAAAGTTGTGTCAGTACAATATCAGAAAGAATGGTCAACTCATACACTGATACTAACAAGCTAAGGAGAACATATTCCTGCTGAACATCAGCATGAATCGCTGGTACACACATTTTATTTTAAATTGTGCATGAGAACTATTTAAGAACTTTTGTGGCTTTTGTACTTCCTGCCCTAGACTACACACAAAGCAATACGCACAGAAGTAATCTAGCATTAGGTGCTGAGAAATATTATAAATGATGGGGCAAAAGCAATATAATTGATATGTATTTTCAACTTTCAACTTAATTCAAGCTTATCCACTCAAATGAAAAGGCCTTGAGTGCTCCTAGAACTCTAATTGCTTCAAATCTCCTGCAGCTGACATCTTGAAGCAAGGATATGAAACTTCACCCTCAAAGCAACGTACACTTAGTCCCCGCCTCCAGACCACTGGAACAGTGTAGTTGCCATGCCGACATCTGTCAGTTATCTTGGTGAGCAGTCACCTGTGCTGCAGATCGGGTGGAGCACAGAATGTGTTCTGATCATCAGGAAGGTGTTTGAACACATCGACATTATGTGATTCTTTAATGAAAGTTTGAGAAGAACCAGCTTTCTGTTCATGACTCTGACCTGTGATCAGACATCACATTCACACACACAGTCGGGGCTCCTTCATTCAGTGTGTGTCGGGCTGAGGGGTGAGGAGAGGCTCCTCGCTGCACCTAATCTTTTTGGACCAAATCTATCCAATTAACACAGCCTAATCCTTCCTTTACAAAGTGTTCTGGGAGCAGTGCCAGGCAGCCAGCGTTTCACATTACCACAGGAAACTCTCTCTGACAGCAGCCGTGTTTCACCTGTTTACGTTCAGGTCCTGTTCATGCTTCAGATTACCCTGATTCTCTGCACTTTTCTATCAAATATTTCATCCTATAGCAAGTGTTGCCTGTCTATAGCCTCTCCAGCGTTTACAATATATGATGCAACCATACACTTGCATTGCTTATACTTTCTACTGGCACATCTGGAGAACATTTGAGTTAATTTATATACATTTAAAGTATGTAGTAAACTTATTTTACACACATACAACATTGGGTACCACACTTAATGCTTCCCTGTTAGTACACACACACACACACACACACACACACACACACACACACACACACACACACACACACACACACACACACACACACACACACACACACACACACACACACACACACACACACACACACACACACACACACACACACACACACACACACACACACACACACACCACTAAAGACACAGACTGTAAACACACTATATAAACAAGGATTGACACATCTTTGTATAAATACTGATACCATTCAACACTGTGAATTCTAAATGTGTTCATTTAATTGACGTAGTGATCTTTGTTTTATGATGTTATTACTGATGTTATTACTGCTTTTATTACTGCTTTTGTGCCAAAATGCCATTGTTCCTGAGTATAAGGACAATAAAGACCATTCATTCATATTTGGCATGCAATACTTAACTACCATGTACAGAAAACTAGGTAAAGTCCATGATGACGTCTATACAAAAGGGGCTAACAATCAATAAAGACTGAAGGAAATTGTGTTTTCATATAGAATCAAAAAGACTTACATGTCTTAGTACAAAGACATGTGATTTCTAAATGTGTTTTTTGAGCAACAAAATACTGTTTAAGGGTGTATAAAGTCTAAATATAGACGAGCACTTTCAAACAATTGTTGATTAAAACTTGCAGAATCAAAGCTGCAGCTGTTATTTTAGCCTAGTTGCTAACTTTGTCTGCTGATGGTGCTGAGAAGGTAGTGTATAGTGGGTTTATCAGCTTCCACTGAAATACATTGATAGGAGCGGTGACAGTAAACCAAAACAGTTTAGCTGAAGCCATAAAACCAAAATATTGAGCTGAAAGAAACCAAAACAGCTGAAGGAGCTGAGAGGACACATTCAACAGTTATTTGATCCACTGTAAATATACAAGAGTTGATGAGTTGGGCTTCAATAATGCAAGGAAGTAAAAGTCAGCCGTGCATCCAGCAGCTTCACAAAGCTCCTGCTAGATTACTTTGGTTACCATCCAATAAAAACATATTAATGCACATCATGCACATCTTGTTCTTTTTAATACTATAAATCTGTACATGTTGCACATTTCTGCTCCACACTTCTTCTCTTAAATCTGCACAGCTCTCCATTTTGAATATAGTATTGTCTTATTTGATTATATATTACTGTACTCCACCTCACCACATATTTATATTTTGTGTAAATATTGGTTTTAATTTGTATTTGTTACAATAGTCCTAAAATCGTTTTTTAAATATATGTTATCATAGTACAATTTTGTGCTACTTATTCTGCTTTCTGTGTAAAGGGCTGCAGGTTGTAGGGTGAAGTTACAACTAAACAGACTCTGAGTCTGCAGGTGTTGCTGGTGTCAGGGACAGCAGGAGGACTGATCTGGGATCTGGTCTGGGAACAGAGCAATGCAGCTGTTCCTCCGGCTGCTGTTCCTCCTGCTGCTGTTCCTCCTGCTGCTGTTCCTCCTGCTGCTGCACTCAGTCACAGTGGCAGCACACCAAAGGCTCTGGTATTTATACTGGATGAAGCTGTTTACTGAGGCTTCGGAATCCAGCCAGACCCCTGATTAATAAAGTGCATTGGCTGATTTTGCCGTTTCTAGCAAAAACCCAAAGTCAAAATGGAACAATAGGTGCTCATGGGAAGTTTATTGCTGCATGAGCTGAGACATCAACTTAAAATCCACCTGTACTATCAGCCTGACACAAATGTAGCGCTGCATTCAGGAGCATCTCATTGTATTGGTCTACCACCGGCTGTTGTTCAGTAGGACAGCACTAGAGAACAGTTTTCTCTCCAGGATGCTAGGCTCATATAACCTTACAGATGACACCTTCGTGCTACCTCATTAGCACAGGAAGGCCAGATGCAGAAGACATTCAGCTCGATGGGATGGCTTTCACCGGGCTATGGTTAATGGAGCCAGTGAACTATAGCAGCAGAGCATTACTGAGCTTTGTCACCCATTAACTTTGTTTTTCTGTCTCTTCACTCGGACTCGTTACGCAGAATCAGGGCTCCCTGCGGGTCGTGGATTACATTAAAGCAGCACATTTATGCTTTACGATCCAGATCGCTCACAGTCATCACTTTGCGGGCGATATGCTAATGCGCCCTTTGAATGGGTTATCATGCTGCAATAAAGGCTGATAACAGGCGCTGATTGGGGGATAGCAGGGTTACAGATTAGGACATGAGGAGGGGATGGATCTATGTGGAGTCATGAGCCCACTCATAACACTTCACAAGTACATTGGAGTGTTAGGTATAGCTCAACTTGTAGAGCTGCTGGCCCATATATCAGGACTTCCCCTTTCAACACTGTCATCTCCAATAAAGGCTAGTCTGGCCCAAATACATCTTTAAAAATAGAACTTTATGTTAAAACTTTCAAATGTTTCCAGACATCAAAGATGCTTTTTTACATGTTTAAAATACTCTAGATAAGATTGCAAGTGACACAGCATATCATAACAATCAATATATTCAGATTATCACATTTCCTTGTGCACGTGAGAGAGGTCGCTCGTGGTGAGGATCCCACCACCTTAGTGTTGTGGTGGGGTCTCCCTGCTCTCACCAGAACCATTTCCATGTGCATTAGCACCAGTTAATGTTGTGCTGTGTGAAAAAGATCTGACACTGTGCTACCTGCCCCAAACCCCCAATGGACCTACAATTACAAATGAGGGAAATCCAGTAATGAAGAATGATGATAAAAGGGAGGTTATGTTCAAAGCACATTTCAACAAATGTATATCTAGAAAGATCTAATACACTGCAAGGCTAACAGTTGTACAAGTCCATTACACAACACACTGTGCCAACCGACTTCCTTGACATCATTTTGCCTTAAAAATACTTTTTCGCATTGATTAACATTGGGAAAGAAATATCTG